CTGTAATAAACATGGGGGGTGCAGATGCAAGTACATTTTAAGCAGCGGTCTTTGTACACTTATTAATAGGGTCTTTATCAGCATTTTTATCAGCTCGGGACCTTCCTGATAAGGGAAGGTCCCGAGCTCTGTAGGACATTTAGCCTGCCTGGACCCTGCTGCCTACTAAGTGCAGAAATCTAGTCACTACAACAATCAGAAACTTCCCCACATTACTCTAAAAGCATCATGGGGAGCAGGAGCAACCCTGGCTGAGAGAAGAAAAAGAAAGAATCATTCCCTCTGGAAGAGAAAACAAAAAGAACAAAGGCAGATGGTGGTAAGCAGCATTTCTTTGGAACGACTGTGAATCTGGTTGGGAGGGGGCCACAGAGGGAAGGGAATGAGAGGAGGGTCCAAAGGTACAGCAGGTGTGCAGAGACCCTGTGGAGGATGCTTAACTTCGAAGTGAGGGCAATAGAAGGCTTGAAAGTATTTGAAGCAGGAGACTAAAAGAATCAAATTTGCTTATCAATAATGCTGCTTCATCCTAGGGTATGAGGTCTGATTTCTAGTGTGGGAATATGGTGATAATAGCGCCTGTCATTTACATTGTTTTGCCAATTCTTACTGCAAATTTGCATTTCTGCTACATCTTTTGGGTGCTGAGGGGAGTGACTTTCTCTGAGAACTGTACAGCACACTGTCCTCTTCAACCATAACAGTTAATTGGAATTAGTTAAAGGGTTATCATACGGTTCTTCCTTTTTCCTTCCTCTTCTGCTTCTCTATATTTTATCCTTCATTGCTGATGGTCATGTTTACCACCAGTCAAAGAGGAAAAAAGAAAAAAAGAAGCTTAACATCATGTCTTTCAACTGTTCCATTTACAATTTCATACTTTAATATCTGGACATTTGTCAGAATAGGAAAGACAAGGAGGTATGTGTCTATATATGCAAAATTTTAAATCAGACAGTAAATTAGTTTCTAACTGAAATTGTGATAGGCTCTAGTCCTACATTTACAAAAACTGAAAGAATTGGCAGCAAGTGCTATGAAGTGGTCAGTATTACGTTTTTGTCAATAGTTTATGATTCTGAGCAGTTCAAACTTTCCTCTCTGTTAAGCAACTGAGTAAGATAACACTTTGATTTAGTTTTTCCTACAACTTCATGTGGTTTTCACTGGAATTTCTACTTGATGACAGTTTTCTGGAAATGCTGTCATCTCTAAGGTCACACTCTTAGAACAGTGGCACTGAATAGAAAGAGTAGCACCAATGTTTTTTAATGTGTTTAATTTTTTAAAAAGTCACAGATGTCAAGCTATTTGTATGCTTAGAGAAGAAAATGTGTTATTCCTAAAACTGAAAAAATTTTAAAAAACTACACATAAATAAAATTATATAAAATCTTTAAATCAACTTTCCACATGGCAATCAATAAAACTAACAATTTTTGCAAAGATTAGTGATAGATAAGTTTTCTCAGTATGGTGGAAGCAGTCTAGGTCCCAGAGTCACAAGAAACTTCTAAACAAGAAATTTCATTTGGTGTTGAGATGGCATGAGAAACAGTGTTTCCCAGGCCCTAAACAATTGATAACTTATGACCAAGTACAAGGGTACTTCAAAAAAATTGTGGAAAAATAGAATTAATAGAGAATCTGAATGCTTCCATGAACTTTTTGACATGCCTGTGTATACAAGGGGGTCTTCAAAAAGTTCATGGAAGGATTCGTATTAGCTTTCAATTCTATTTTTCCACAAACTTTTTGAAGTACCCCTGTAAGATTCTTTTTAATTATAGTGTATAAAGGACCTAATGCCACAGTTATTTGTTAATAAATTTCCACCATCATATATGGTGAATCATAGTATAGAATTGAAATTGTCATTTTGAGTGACATGAGTGGTAGAAGATGAACTGAAGAAAGCTAAAAGAAAAAAGTTGTAACTATAAAAAGAAAACTAATAAAATAACTCATAAAAGTCTACATCAGAATGGGAATGGGAGTAGAAAACTTTCACCTTTGTTCTCACAAAGGAATAAGAGATTTTTTGGCACACTACTTTATATGGTGGCTCAAATATTATATGAAGGAGCTCAATGAAAGAAATCAACAAAATGGTAGAGAAGAATAAATATTTTAATTTAGTTTCCTGATGTTTTCCACATGTGTTACAAAATTTAAACTTTATTTCTATGAGCTCAATGAGTATCTAAAATGTTATAAGACAAGGCAGATATTTAGAGAAAAATATTTTTCATGTTTTCCATGTTTTAGGTATAATTGAATAAACATTATTTTATTTTCACCTTTGTCTCTATTTTTATTTAACCTCAAAATTTACATATTATAAGCCCAATTAAAAACAGAATATTCTGGGCTGGCCCGGTGGCACACTGGAGAGTGCGCCACTTGGGAGCGCGGCAGCGCTCCCGCCGAGGGTTCGGATCCCATGTGGAGACCAGTTCCCGCTCACTGGCTGAGCGCGGTGCGGGCGCAACACCGAGGGTTGTGATCCCGTTGCCGGTCCCCGGTACGGGCGCGACACCGAGGGTTGCGATCCCATTACCAGTCAGTAAAAAAAAAGACAAAAAGGAAAAAAAAAAGAAAAGAAAAGAAAAAAAAAAAAAACAGAATATCCTACTGAAGTAAATCAATGTATTTGTAAAGTTAGATATAGTAAAAGGTAATAAATAAATCACTTTCTGGATAAATATAAAAGCCTTTACTGAATGTATTTTATCAGAAATAAGAAAATTATTGCACAATTGTTGATAGCTTCTGTGAGTAGCATGATTTTAATTGCCAATACTTAAAAGTAGAATTTTAAGACTAGCAATTTTGATCAGCTAAAATTCTGTTTGAGTCAATATTGTATTTTAAACAGGCAAGACAATTTCAGCAATGGAATAGGGAGTCCCTCATATCACTATGTTGAATGTAGCCTATACAAAAGACCATAATTTAACAATTTGGTTGTCATTAGTCATGCAAATTTTAGATTTAGAGTTTCTTGCTTTAATAAAGAATCCTGAGCCTAGAATAGTGAAAATGTCTTAAGTCAAAGTACAAGTTAAAATGATAGTACCAAAATACAAATTTATTTTTCCTTTAATCCAAAGCAATCAGTCATTTCAGTCAGTTCAATAATAATTACTTTAAAAAAAAAACCTGGTTAATGAGGTTAATGATCATTCAGTGGATTTCATGAAGTTCTACTGTTGAATGATTCTATCACCCTCTTCTGAAATAAAATGACAGGTTGATCTTTGAGATCTTTTGATAAAGGGAAAGTCAGATGACTTTGCCCTAAAGTGTTAGGTAAACACAAAATCACTTTTCAGATTTCTTAAAGATGTATGCATAAATCCACCACCATAAATCTTCATACATTCAATTAACTACGGAAAAATAGAAAAAACCCAAATAAAACAAAACAAATAAAACATCCTATCCTGTAAAGGGAAGAAAATCTGAAATAGATTGTAATATGAGACATAATTTTTCCAGAGCAGATGTTCATTCACTCCTTAGGTTAGAACACAAAAAGTAATTTAATGACTGCTAGTGTTTAATTTGCATCTATGCTAATTAATTTTGTGAGCTGTTATTTGCTTTGATAGGATTACTAGTTTTCCTAGAGAATCACCTCCCCAAAAAGCTGTAATTTCTGAATCTTCAGTGGATCCTGGAAACAGATTTCTCTAGTTCCTTCAAATGATGTAAAGATGGCTTCCTTTTTAAAAGTTATTCTTTGCTAAATGTTGTTTGCATTACTAGTGTGTTCTTACACTAGTGCGCTGAAATGCCATGCATTACTTCAAGCAGTAAGAAAATAGACAGAGATCACTATTTAAGTATATAAAACATCACTTAATACATTTAAATAGAGGAGAGTAGAGAAATTTTTGCCTCTAAACAAAGTTTGCTATAATTTTATTTTTTAAAAATAGATAACAAAACAGTGACATCAAATTTACCCAGATACTGTATTTTATAAAATAGTATGTAAATGCAACGATAGAGATATAAAGCCTAAAAATCTCTATTTTGCATGGTGTGGGATTCCTTCAGCTGTTATTATGTAAAAGCAATTACATTTTCCTCTGAGATCTGCATATTTGCTAAGCAATTACAACGACCTGTAAATATTCATATTTCACATTTTTATACAAATGTTAAATCTGATTTTTAAATTATTACATAATTAAAATAAAGCATGTAATCATAATGTGATGCTGGAACACTAAACAGAAATTAGTAGCATACACAGCTTAAAAAAAAATAAAACTTAAAGGTGTAAATAGCTAGATGAATAGTATTGCAATTTAAGTTTGACCCAGGTAATTACATTTCAAGCTTTATGCACAACTCTTGGCCCACCTTACTAAGGGCTATTATATACCATGGTCTATTCTACACTCTCAGAAGAAGTGAACTGGTTAATTTAAAGCTGAAGTTCTCCAATAAGTTTGATATGCTGCTAATATTATCACATACACATTCTTTCTCATAAAAATATTATTATTGAAGACATAAAGAATAAATACAGTGGAATGTCATTATTTATTATTATATTAATCCTGTCTTTGTTTTCCAAAATCTGATCACAGAGAAAGAAATATCAGTCGTATTTCTCTCACTACTTACCTGAGGGAAATTTTATTTCTGCAAGAACCCTGGCAAGCAGTTTTTCTAGTTACTTTTCTGCATATCTAAACCACATAACTAAACAGCACGCACAGAATGCATAAAAGAAGCCGTGTAGTATAACAACGAAGTGACTTCTCCAGGAGTTACCTTACTTTACTCAAAAAGTGCAGGTGCAAAAAACTATCCATCCTTCAACAAGTTGCTGGCTGGGATGGACAAATTTTATTTTTCAAGAAATAATCTTTCTAAAGGAAACACTAATTTGCAAAGGCAAATAGCTCCAACAAATAGACATTTTAATAGTCAAACCTTTGGGGGGAAATAAAAACACAGAACCAAGCAAAGATCTTACTCACATTCCTTTCAGGCGTTGCCACATTTTTTCAGTCTGCTCTCCTATGAGATACTTAAAAGTGGTGTTTTCCAATTCTTCAGTTTCTGTAGCAGGAGACCCCATCATGATGCTCCTAGGGCAATACAGTCACAGTCAGTTTCAGCAGCTAGAACAAGCATTCCTCAGTCCAGTACAAATCTCACAGTTATACAGTACCATCTCTAATCTACCAAAAGCAGTGTGGATGTACAAGGCTGAGGGAAGCCTCTGCCAGAATTGCTATTGACTTTGACAGGCATAGCCACTGCTCACCACAACACCCCCCTCAAGCAGACAGCAGTATAAGCAGATGCTCTGACCTCACAGGAACAGTCCGCACATGTGAGTCTGCTACTGTACCACTGACCGACTGAGTGCTCAAGCTCTCCCCAAAAGCAGCTCATCTGTTGCTGTTCTGTGCACTGAAGCACATCAGAATTCCTACGGTTTACGAGCTCTATTATGCACAAGAGAAACGTGAATGACTTTCGCGCTCCAGAAGAAGCTGAGTTCCTCCCTCCCAACGGAAGGAGGGCAGGATGTAATAAGAAAACAGATGGTAGAAACCAGGATCAGCAGCATCACCCTGAGAAAAAAGTGCCTGTTTAAATGCCAAGGTTTTTGTCTCTTAATTGATCTGGAACCAACACTGAAAAATGTATCATGCTCTAACAATAAATGCAATAAATATGAACGACAACAAAGAGAAAATAACATATAGAGCCATGCAGAAGACAGACCACAGAGTTCCACAGGTTGTTATTAAAAGAATATGTACATCAATTGATGCTGTAATCATGCTTATTCACCTTCTCCTAGCAACTCCACACAGTAGGTAACTGCCAATTTAACCAATGGAAAACACGGTAGCTGCACACAGCCTGCTCTGTGAATCCTTTGGGGATTAAAATATAAATAAAATGAAACTAGTGTGAATGCATGTGTGTACTGCTGGAGGAAAAGGGAGTGTGTGTTTTTGTGTGTGTGTGAGAGAGAGAGAGACAGAGAGAGAGAAGTAGAAAGGGAGAGAGGGAGAGGAGACAAATTGATGCTATACTATTTGTGTGTTTTAGAAGAAAAATGAGAGAAAGAAAGTGGACATAAAAAAAAATCAGAACTGAGTCGACTGCCAAGCTCCCAACACATGGTGAGCTTTCTTTAAAACAAGCACAGACCCCGAGTATGCTCCATAACAGCTATTGCTATCCGCAAGCTGCTAAGAAAAATATACTTAAAAGCAATATCACTTCTTATTTGTTTGGAAACCCAGACATAGTTTTATTCCTCCCTGCAAGAAAACTTGCCTGTTACCTTGAGGTTTAAGGTAGAGATGTTCAAAAATCAAAGCTACGTAATAACAGCCAATATTTATTGAATGTTTCCTATGAGTCAGACACTGTTCCCTGTACCTAACACATATTACCTTCTTTAGTTTTTACAAAAATCACGTGAGGTAGGTAATATTCCTGTTTAACAGCTGAGAGGAAACTGAGAAAGACATTCCTTAAAATAGGCCTTATTGTTTTATTGACAAGAAATCGTCCAATATAAAATTACAATGTCTGTCTGTAGTGGATTGAATTATGTTCCCCCCCCCAAACTCATTGAAGCTTGAATTGTGTCCCCCAAGTTTTATGTATTAGAAACTTAGGCCCCACTGTCACTGTTAAGAGAGTGGGAAATCCTATCATGGTCATTGAATGAAGGAGGCTTGAAGAGGTGATTGGATTGTAGGACCCTGCAGTAGTGAATGGATTAAAACAGGTGGTCAGGGGCAGGTTCTGAGGGCTTTAAAAGAAGAGGAGAGTCTGCCTTTTGCTCACTCTGCTCTCTCTACTTCCGCCATCTAGCAATGTGAGACCCCTAGGTCGCTGTCACCACCACCAGATGGACTTTGAAACTGTAAGTGATAAATTTCATTTTCTTTATAAGTTATTCAGTTCCATGCAGTTTGTTATAAGCAACAAAAACAGACTAATATACTACCCAAACAACACTGATAGTATCTAGTAAGTGAAAATATGTATGTAAAAAGTACCTTTGCAAAACATTATATAAAATGACTTCTGATTTATAAATTAGAAGTGGTTAAATCAAGAGAAGCTTCAGTTATCCTCTCTCAGACAAGATATTTCCAGAACTTAGTCTAAATGGCTGTCTTTAGCTAGCAGACAGCTTTACACAGTCAAAACCTCACTCCTATGAGCATTTACCAGAGTTGTCAGAAAGAAGTTCATCTTTGATCTGAAAGTACCATTTTTACCTTCACTGTGCCTTTATTTACAATCTGAACTATGTTCACTTAATAAACTCTTACCTGATTTTTCTTTAGTGAGATAGTCAGGCAACATCTGAATTCTGCTCTCAAAGATGAATCACAGCCAAAAATCTTGATCAAAACCAAGTACTCCACCATTATTATTTTATTAGCCAAAATACCAAAATCCTTGAGGCTATAACCTCTTTTAGACCACAAATGATTTTCTAAATGTGAGGGTACTTCAGATAGCTCAGGAAAAGTTTGTACTCTTTTAATTCTATTTTTCCATGAACTTTTTGAAGTATCTTGATATGTCATAAAATTTCAAGCTCTCACATTGGTCAGCTTACCAAGAATGTCACAAGGTAATCTTTCACTATATCACTTCTATATGTATTGATATTTAATACCTCAGGATATACTGACTGGGTCACTTACTACCAAAAAAAAAAGTCTAATTATTGCATTAAATGTTTCATAAAAGAAAAATTCAAATAATAAACTAGATAGAACATCTCATTTTTAAAATCCTTAACCAAGATTATCTTCAGCCTCAGGAAGCATCAAAAAGTTACTTCTGTTAATGTAGAGAATTCAAAGCATTTTTCTTTTCTATTTATAACAAACGTCCACAATATGTATTAAGAAAATAAAAATTTAAAAATCACATTGCAAAGAACAGACTAGAACTTAGGGGATTGTGTACAACTTTTTTTCTAATATATTGGTAAAAATTTAAGGTGATGCATTCATAAAATTAAACTAAAGCAAAAAATTCTGACATGAAAAATAAAAATAAGGCAAAAAAGGATTCTTGTAAACTAAAATATGCTTGCTGAAACAAAACATTCAATATAAGCTCTAGTCCAATATTTTCCATCTCTTTGACATTAACTCAATATTGAGGTAAATTTGTCTCTATTATAGTAAGTAGTTCCTTTGTTCCTATTTACCTAATATTTTATTAGGAAGTAGTTACAAAACTTTATGGAATGACTTCAGTATCTATTGATGCCAAGATATAGTACAACATAGATTGTGGATTCAGACTACCTGGGTTTAATGCCTGCTTTTTCACTGAAAGAAGCATGTAATATTTTGCAAATTACTATTTTGTATCTGTTTCTTCATGTATAAAGTCAGCATAATAATATCGTCTTTGTATTAGTCTGTTTCTGTTGCTTATAACAAAATACCTGGAACTGGGTGATTTACAAAGTGTATTGCTTACAGTGTCTGAGGCTGGGAAATCCACGGTTCAAGGAACACATGTGATGGTGGGAACAGTGATCCTTCACACTGCAAGATGGTGGAAGCAGAGAGAGCAGAGAGTAACCTCTTCATTCCTTCCCTTTTTAAAGCCCTCAGAACCTGTCTCCTGACCACCATTATTAATCCATTCACTACTGTATGTTGCTACAAGTCCAATCACCTCTTCAAAGCTCTATCTTTCAATTACCATAATAGGAGTTCCCACCCTCTCAACAGTCACAGTGAGGGCTAAATTTCTGATACATAAAACTTGGAGGACACAATTCAAGCTTCAGGGAGTTTGGGGGGACATAATTCAATCCACTACAATCTTCCTCATAGAGTTGATGTATTTTTTATTGAAAAACAATTGATTATACATATTTATGGGGTAGAATTGAATATCAATACCTGTGTATGATGATCAAATCAGAATAATTATCATGTTCATCATTACAAAACCTAATCCTTATGATGTCAGAAGTAGGGTCCAGGGGGCCCAGTAGTTGGCCTCAACCCACCCATTGCTCTTACCAGGTTCTTGACTCTGCCACAGGAAAGAATTCGAGGGCAGAGTCACAGTAGAAAGCGAGAACAAGTTTAATATAATAGATAAGAAATACAGGTTCCACCAAGTATGCACAGCTCCAGAGATAGAGCAGGGCCCACACCAAGTTTAACACAAAAGTAAGTTCAGTACAGACATCAAGTCTAACACAAAAGCAAGAAAAACATTCTTAAAGTTCAGTACAAAGTGCAGGCTGGCTCAAGAAAGCGAGCAGCTGCTTGCTGCAAGTAAGTTCAATACAAAGTGAAAAATACACACCTCAGCCAGGAAAGTACTCCCTGTCTCCAGGAAAGTGAGCAACAACCCTACTTTCAGCTGGGATTTGGCTTTTATACTTTCTCTATCTAATGAATATTCCATAAGAGGGTGGTTCCCAGGTATATGCACCAGAATATTCTTTGCTATTTATTGAGCATACCCAGCCACTGGATTGCATAAGCCAGCTTCATGTGGTCTCATTTTCCCCCAGTTGGTGCTAAAAATAGGTCTAACTGGCAACAGTAACTTTCCTCCAGGGAAGAGTTCAGAGGAGGGGGCCTGAGACCTCAGAGAGTGGCTGGAAACCCACAAGCTATCCTGAAACTGGACCCCCAGGGAAACTGAGCACCTCCTGTATCAATTCCTTCTGTCCATTAACTAATTTCTCACAAACCACCCTCCTGCTCTCCCTTTCCCACCTCTAGTAATCACAGTTCTGTTCTCTCCTTCTAAAAGTTCGACACATTATTGGGATTGTTTTTCTTTTCTTTCTTTCCTTCCTTCCTTCCCTCCTTCCTTTCACTCCCACTTATGAGTGAGGACATGTGGTATTTCTCTTTCTGTGTCTGACTTGTTTCACTTAACATAATTTTCTCCAAGCTCATCTATGTTCCTGCAAATGGAAGAATTGCATTTTTTCTTATATGGCTGAGTTGTATTCATATACACACACACACACACACACACACACACACACACACCACACTTTCCTTATCCTGTTGTCCATCAATGGACATTTAGGTGATTCCGTATCTCGGCTATTATACATAGAGTTTTGATAAACATGGGAGTGCAGGTATCCCTTCAACATGATGATTTCCATACAGGGTTGTGAGGAAAGTGGAGTTGGTTTGGTCAGTCCCTCTCGCCTCATATCGGTGGGTGTGATTCAACAGATCCATTGTAAACAAGTTATGTAAGAGTAGAGTTAGTGTACATGCATGCCCATGTACCGTTTGACTCATTGCCGCTATTGTATAATTTTGGTATGGAAGGCAGCGGCTCTGAATCGCTGGTCGGTGGAGCTTGCTCTGAAGAATAAAGCATGTCCACTTTGCCAGCAGCTACTTGGTTTCTGTTTTGCTTACCTGACTCAGGACCTGCACAGGACCAGCATAGAAGGGTCTGTGATCCAGCCCAACAAGAGTTGATGTATTAAATGACTTAGTACATGTAAGTAACTTAAAACAGTATCTGGAACATAA